CAATTTTTTTTACAGTTGGAAAAAAAAGTTTAGGAGTTATAAACCACAAATTCACATAAAAAAAATTCGAATTTCCAAATTTTATATTTTTTATGCTCGTTTAATTCGGCCAAATGATTTTTGGCCGAGTGCGAGGGAGCCTGGGTTGATGACGTAGATGGAGTAACTCGTCCTTCGGTAAATACAAAGTTTACTGTACAAGTTCCACATATTTCATTACAAATCTATGTTTTCTAAGACTGAACGTGGGATAATCCAGCCTGAAACGGCAAATCTAATGCTACTAGAGATTATTCTGACGATTTGAACGTTATTTCATGTCTTGGCTATAAAAATGGAGCCAAAGTGTTGAGAGATTATTCTGGACAAACAAGTGTTGCGTATAGATCTAGATAAATATCGAGGAACAGGAAAAGTTATTTACGGCCCCAGGTAAGTAACTTCTTTCAATATATGTAGGTAGTATTTACAGCTGTTCAAATTCCAGGTTCTCTTGTTTCAGATTTGATTTTTACTGTCATTTCACTGTAGGTATCTATCGTTGTCTCTCGAACGACTTACTCCCTCTACGTCATCACGAAGACATTGATCAGGCACACAGGAATCCCGAAATTGGCTTTGTCCGCGGTTGTTTTCGCTTCAAAATGTAGTTTAAATAAACGAAATCAAATTTGTTTGTACAAATTGTTGTTACTATGACAAAAGTCTTTTCTTTACAAATATAAAAAAAATTGGGTGAGGTGGACTTTAACTACTGCAAATCTATTGAAATGCCTCAGATAATCTCTTAGAGAAGAATTTCCATTGTAGTCGTTTCCTGAACTTCGGAGTTGACCTTGCTTCATAATTTTTCATAATTTTATTTGTAATAAACAGTTTACAAAATATAACAAAGGTAACACTTACATAAGTGCCAAAAGAACATATAAATAATACAAATTAACAAGACAATACATAGTACTAATAAAGAAACCAAAGACAAAAGAAAGGAAAAAATAATAATTGGCCTTAAAACAAATAAATAAGAATTGACACCCTTGTTATGACTATTCTAATAATTTCTGTATCAATTCGTATTTGCTTGCATGTGTGCACAGCCTATCATGCTTATGCAAATTCAATTTTAGGTTTTTGTAAATAAATAAATAAATAAATCGACTTTATTTTACGAGGGTAACACGTGACAGTAAAGAACTGATGAACATGTTGATTTTTACTGAGGGAGGAAAACCGGAGGACCCGGAGAAAAACCCTCGTGGCAAGGGAGAGAACAACACATCAAACAAACTCAAACTCACATATGGTCCGTGCCCAGGAATCGAACCCGGACCACAGCAGTGAGAGGCCAGTAGCTTAACCACTAGACCACCCTTGCCACCCAACGAAATTATACCTTTGCACCCTTTACACCCTTGCCACCCAACGAATTATGCTAGGTCTGCGCCCTTCCTTTTGCTTACCAGAGTAAAGAGTATATTTATAAAGACTAAGTAAAAATTCCTAAACAATAATTGATAACACAATAATTGATAAGTTTAAGGATGGCAAAACTATATTAACTGTCTTCAACCATACACTTAGTTCTGTATAAAATGTTTTAGAGACTTCACAGTTTACAAAAAAATGTTCTATTGTTTCAGGATATTTATTACAGAAAGTACATAATGATGATACACTTATTTTTGCTTTATATAACTTATGATTTAGAAAAAGTGAATTATTTTTAAATAATTCATTTAAATAAGATATTAAAATATCTTATATTGAAACTCTCTTAGCTTGTTATCGTTTGATAGGCTGTACACCCTTTGATAGACTACACGCCATTCAATGTTCTGAATGCCAAGTTTAGTTTCAAAATATTTCTGTGAAGATGGTAATTTAAATTTCTTTTTAATAATTTCTTTATAAATTTCTCTGGATGTAATTTTGGATATTTCCTTAAGTTTATTCCCAATTTTAAACAATTGTTCATGACCTTTTTGGTTTGAGACTTCAGACGTTCGTAAAATTCTTTTCCACGCAGATGGAATTACACTGCAAACGAAGCACCAAGACATAATATCCCTACGTTCCAAATTTCTCTTTGTTTTCATTTGATCCCAGCTCATTAAGGTATCAGCGTACCCAAAACCGTCACATTTTAATGATTTTTTGATTTTTATATCATTCGAAAGATCGTTTGTAGATCTATGTATTTAGTAAAGTTTGGAAAAGATACGAAGTTTACAACAAAAGTTATTGCGCTAAAAAGGTTTTTTATTCTTAATTGATTTAGTTCGGATTAATGGACTTGATGACAGCTCACATGAAATGATGAAATTGAAGACGAGGTCAAAGGCCGCATATAAACACACACGCTAACTCAGCACTGGCAACATCATACAAACATTTATCTATGTCATCTAAAAAAAGACCGTGTCCTTTTGCGGGAGCAAAACCCCGCAAAAAAAAAAAAAAGTCAAAATTCAGTTTCGATGAGAAATGTAAGTCTAGTCTAGCTGCCAGCGACAAAGGATCTTACTACAATCAAAAAAACTCAAGTTTTGAATCTGACGCCGTGAGTGCGAGTCGCTCAAAAATAAATTTGCAAGACAAAGAATTAGTTTATGAAGAAAATCTGCCAAAGAGAGTTCTTGTCTGTGAAAACAAATTACAAGAAATGCTCGAGAAATCTGTCTCGTGTCGTTCCTGCCATGAAGATGTAGATATTTTAGAAGAAACAAGTACTGGACTAGGGTCTRCATTGGTGATAAGATGCAAAAATGAGGACTGCCCATCGCATTCTACTGGGTCTAGCTTCCCTGCCACACCAAAGAGTAAGGGATACGAGGTTAATCGGGCGTTTGTACTGGGAATGCGGGCGATTGGTTGTGGTCACACAGCAGCCACAAAGTTGGTGGGATTTTTGGGGCTATCTTCTATAACAAAGAACTCATGGGCTGAGCATACCAAAGTGATAGAGAAGGAAGCAAAATTGCTTTGTGAAGAAGAACTTTGCCGAGCATHGCTTGAGATAAAAGAGTRGAAGCACAGTAAGGGAGTAATTGATTGTTCTCGCGAGCAGTTGAAAGACACCGTGATAGATGTTGGAATCACGATAGACGCCTCGTGGAGCTCAAGGGGATGGTCGGCAACTGATGCTGTTGTAGCTGTGATTTCTGTCGATACCGGCAAAGTATTAGACTTTGTTCACATGTGTTCGTCTTGCACTGATTGTAATAAGATGAAAACAAAGTTGGAAAAGAAGGAGATAACACAACTTCAATACCTGGAATGGTTTGTGGCCCACGAAGATGATTGTTTTGTCAACCATGAAGGGAGCTCTTCGGTAAGGTCTATTCTTGTTTCGTATTTTAATACGAAACAAGAATTAAAATTTTCATATTATTTGGCTTCGTTTCATTGAAAATCTATGCAATCTTAAAGCTAAGACGATCTTATATGATAGTGATAGTAAAATATCAATAATCTAGCATCGGCAATATTGGTAATTGTGCTAACTGTAGTATAAAAAGATAAAATTTATTTAGCAGATTTAGTGATCAGACAAACATACAGTTTTCTCAGAGACTAAGCTTTGTATATGTTTATCGCCTAAAATAATTGTTTTCAACTGTTATAGTCCATGGAAGCGGAGGGTGCTAAACTTCTTTATCAAAGATCGGTCCAATTACGGAAGCTCAGATACATACCGTCGGCGACGGCGACACCAGTGCATACTCATCTGTTTCTGAAGCTCAATTCTACGGGCCTGCAGTCTACATACCGAAACAAGAGTGCGTCTCCCATGTAACAAAACGTATGGGGACTGGCCTAAGGGCACTTCTAAAGGAATACAAAGGTAAGAAAATTAAAATGTAAAGGACTGACTTTGAATAATTGGTCATTTCCGGTTTATAATTGCTGTTTCAGCCACTGAGTTATTGCACTTCTTACACCAAAAGAACATTACCAGTAGCGTAGCGTAAATGGAATACAACTACGATTAAGGCTAAGAGCAACTTGTGATAATTATAATAAGAATTTGTTTTCCTTTAAATTCTAGGCAGAAAGTTATCTGACGGCAAAGGCTTGGGAGGTGTTGGTAGATTAACAAATGCAAGAATAGACACCCTACAAAACTTTTATGGTAAGAGCATCCGAGCCAACAARGGAAATGCGAAAGAAATGGCCAAAGCTACGAGGGCATTTCTCAAACACTACAGTAGCACAGTTGAGAAACCGCAGCACGACGATTGCCCARTAGGGTCAAATTCATGGTGTAGTTACCAAGAGGATATAGCAAACAAGACCAAAAAGCACCGGCCAGTAAAAAATCCACTTCCTGAAGCTGTTGTTGAAGTAATGCAGCCCCTATTCAACCGTCTAGGCGACGAAAACTTCCTTGCTGGATRCGAAGGCTGCTATACRMAAAACAGAAATGAATGCCTTCATCACGTTATCTGGGGCATGGCATCGAAAAACAAGTACACGTCACCCCGAGAAATAAGCCTTGCTATAAATCTGGCTGTTCTACAGTTCAACAGAGGCTTTAGAGAAACGTACCAAGAGCTTCTACCCTCACTTGGTATTACAGTCCAACCACACATGGTCGAAAACTGGAACACAATCGACACCGAACGTGTTTACCAATCAGACTACAGAAACACTTCCGAGACTACAGAAACACTTCCGAGGTAAAAGTGAGACGAAAAAAGAAAAGAAAAAACAAACTAAAGAAACAGGATGCTTTTGTTCACCAAGAGGGTACCACTTACAAATCACAGGCTTTTTATGGTGAAGGAAAAGCACAAGTTCCTAAAAAGCGAGGGCCGACCAAGGGAAAGAAAGCTAACACTAAACAAAAGAAAGGAAAAAAACCTCCACCAAAACAAACAAAGGGAAAGAAAACCGCTCACAAAACAAGATAATTCAGGCATATAGGCCAGAGCTATCAAAACAATGCAGAAAATTTTACTAATTTTTTCTAATACAATCTCAGTAACTAAATTCACGGTAATATAAAAACACTCTTCTGATTTCCACAAAATATTCTATGACTCAAGATATATAATGCGATATAAAATCTGAAACAATTTTATTCACTCGGTCACTTCGCTAATTTCATTTGTGGCATCGTCGCTTTCTGAACGCGGCAACTCCATTGCCGAACAAAATTCTTCCATAGAGACTTTGTAAGCATTCTGAAACAAAGTAGACAAATAAAATTTCAAACTACMATTATKTATGTCATTGGCTGATTCCATCAATAAATGTAATGTAAAATTGCTAGGTTCCGAATCATAAGTTTATTTCAGTGGGGTACAGACTAGACCAAATTATGAGAAATATTTTTTATCTCATGAAACTATTCTGATTATTTTTCTTTAAACTGAATATTTGAATATCCTACCTCTCTAATTTCCCCTTTAATATCCCCGGGAACCAAGTGACGAATAAACTGTAAAACAGATGGTGGGTAAGCAAACTCTGCGTTTGTTTCGGGTCCAATCTTTTTACGCTTGAATATAAAACAAGATATTATTGTCACTGCATGTCATTATAACCCTATGTAAAAATCAACAACGGAAAACAATATACAAGATATGATTACGGGATATAAGTTTGACTAGAAATATACGCAATCAACCTACCAATAATGCATAAGCCCAATGACAATACTCTAAGTATCTATTTCTTCGAGACGTTTTGCCTCGTTTGAGTCTGTCTTTTACTTTCGCTTCCAGGAAACAGACAAAGTGGCTTCCATCATATCTGCGTAAAATCAGCGTTTTTAAACATAATACAGCCATGTAATACTATGAAATTTACTGATTTATGTGTAGCAACGTGTGATTCTATACATAGTATAATACGGCGAGTGTTTAGAGTGGCCGGGTGGATTGAACCATGCCCGTTGCCGTTAGATACAAACTGACGCTAAAATACAAGAATATATTATCTATGGATTGCCAAAAACAAGGACCAATAAGCAATATTCGAGAAATAATGCTCACCCGGCAGTTTTCATATGACTTAGCAAGTCCGTCCTCGGATTCACAATTGTAGCGGCATCACCTTCATGTTGACTCTCGGTTGGACTTTGCTTCTTCTTGCTTCTTCTTTCTCTTTTCTCGAGACCACTCTCTTTCTTTCTCCTAGTATTAGTTTAGTTTATGAGTTTACACGTTTTGATTTGAAGGCCAAATAAGCGAGAATAGGAATCGAACATACATATATTTACAAGTAAACATACCCTTGCTTCGCTTTGCTATCGCTCTTCTCGGCCTTTGGCATTCCAAACGAATCTGGCGATCTCCTTTTCAACCCTGTTGATAAAGGATTTATGAACTGGTAATTTGGAACATACGTAGAGCAATTGATTCAATGCAAGCGATYGAACAACTTGAGCTTTACCATATAAGGTTAAATTTCTCATTTTTGGAGGGCTCTATCAAAATTGTTTTCTTTTACAACCCCATTTTTATGAGAGAAGTAAATGCCAAGAATCTTTATTCCTTCTTTTTTGAAATTTAGTTTTTTAATTTTTCCGATATCACCCAATAGTATATTATTACCCAAGCTACCAGCTTCCGATTTAACGAAATTAAGCTCTAAAGATGAAAAGTGTCCAGTGTATCTATAACTGCATTGAACGATTTCATATCTTTCACAAGAAAAGTTGCGTCGTCTGCGAACAAAACTAGTTTTGTTTCTTCTGCATTTCCAACAAAATTAACTCCTTTTATTTTATCGTTTGAACGAATTAATTGATCCATGATTTCTATTGTTAAAATAAATAAATATGGTGAGATAGGATCTCCCTGTTTAGTTCATCTTTTAAGTTAAAAAAAGTTTGTTGATGTCCTGTTATTTAAAATACAGCTTTCTGAGTTCAGTATTAGCACTTTAATCCATTTTATGAATTTTTCTCCAAATCCAAAGTGTTTCAGGGTTGAAAAAATAAAGTGGTGTTCAATTTAATCAAAAGCCTTCTGAAAATCTGCCGCAAACAGTATGCATGACGCATTTTCATTTTGTTCTGAATAATCAAAGACATCTAACAAAAATCTCAATGTCTCGTCAATTGTGCGACCATGGACAAAAGCTGCTTGATTAGGATGGATTAACTTAGGCATAATTTTCTCTAAACGTTTACATAACGCTTAATTTACTACATATTTTAGTGTCAACATTTATCAGACTTATTGGCCTCCAGTTTTTAATATATATGATATCTTTACCAGGTTTTTCTAACATAGTTATTGTTCACGACGGAACTTTATCGCTATAGATTAATTGTTGACATTACTTATTGTAATTATTTCTATTCTTGTTTATCGTTTATGGGCTACCTGTGTTGTGCCCGGGCYCACTCGGTCATGTGGGTATGTTGTAAACATGGCGGAATTAAAGAACATGTGAGTTGTATTTGGTTGTTCGATTCGTGGGTTTAATCCCGTCCTCGGGGCCATCCGACCCAAATCCTCAACAATCCGAAGAGCCGGCACATTAATTTGGTCCTTCGAGCTGGATATTTGTAAAGAAACGAGGTTTTCTACCAAAAATGGATGATCAAAACGGAATACCGAAAGCGAAGGCTTCGAGGAAAGTGAAAAAAGCTAAAGTTACGAGGTTAGTTAATCAAATACGACAACATATCAACGATGGGATTAATATTCATTCGCTTAAGAAGCTTCGTTCAGAACTAAAGGAAGCTATTGAGATGATGGAAATGTCTAATGAAGTTCTTTATTTACTCGAACCTGAAAATGATGAACATGATCAATGGCTTGAGACTGCTTTACAACCTACTATATCGTGTTTGCCAGACATCGAAGGATATATTCAACAGCATTGTGAATCATCATCAACTTCTTCAAGATCTCAACGTAGTTTCTCTAACCGTATGTATTATACATCAAGTGAATCAAGTACTTACTCCAAAGCTCAATCTAGTAAATCTAGTGCAAGTCATGCGAAATCGTCTGTATCAAAAGAGAAAGTACATTCACGTAAGAGAAAAGCAAAGTCAACCTCATCACATCATCCCAAAATAAGTTCTTTGTACAAAGATAAGATTGTAGAAGCTAAACTCATAGATAAGAAAAAATGTATACAAATGTAGCCAAGGCTGCTATGATGTCGAAAATGTATATCGTGAAACCGAGCTTTCGCTGTACTACAGCATCATCAGGGAATGACAAGAAGAATAATATTCTTGACTAATAAGAGCTGGGCGATCAGGCGTTACGGTGAACGACCAATAGGCAGAGAGTAGATTAGGTTAAAATAACAAGTCTTGGTCGTTCACCGTAACGCCTGATCGCCCAGCTCTTATTAGTCAAGAATATTATTCTTCTTGTCATTCCCTGATGATGCTGTAGTACAGCGAAAGCTCGGTTTCACGATATACATTTTCGACATCATAGCAGCCTTGGCTACATTTGTATACATTTTTTCTTATCACAATCATGCTGCTAAAGGATACCTTCACTCGTCTAAACTCATAGAGCATGACATTGAAGTTACATCAAAGAACAATGAGGAGGATAGAAAAATGATGTTAGAACAAGAAATAAAGGAAAAACAACTCAGAGAAACACAAGCCAAAGCTGATCAAAAGGCATTTGAATTGCGGAAACTCAATGAAGAGTCCATGCGTTCTCGAAAAGTAAGGACACTTGAAGAGAGTAAACAGAGAGCTATACTAGAAGCAGAACTACTTCAAAGAATGGAACAACATGATGCAACATTACATGATCAAGTGAGTCTAACATCTACTACCACATCAAATGAACAGTCTACTACATGTACCCCTGCAAAGGAAGTACATTCTTCACCTGAAAGTTATCCACCAACACCTAAGACACATATTGTATCAACGTTATCACAAGCTACACTACAGAATCACACTCAAAAAACGGATGCCCCACTGGCAAAGGAAACTTACACAACAAGTGTTCAAGTTAATTCAACGGAGACCACACAGGGTGGTCTGCGATCAAACCCTCTTTCTATGGATGCCCCATTGGCAAAGGAAACTTACACAACAAGTGTTCAAGTTAATTCAAGGGAAACCACACAAGGTGGTTTACAGCACCAGGTACCTAGTACCTCTGTCGACAAAAACTCTAGCACCCCACTGGTGACTAGTCTATGTTCGCCATTGTTCTTTACACCGTCCACAGTACCAGCTTCAACAGGAAGTTTACTGTCAAGTAAAGATCACACACTCACAAGGGATGCCCCATGGGCAAAGGAAACAAGTGGATTGAACTCTAGCACCCCATTGGTGTCTAGCACTCCTTATGTATAATCATCATCTCACTACGGATTGAACTCTAGCACCCCATTGGTGTCTAGTACTCCTAAAGTATCAGCATCATCGTATCATATCTATTTTCCATTTCAACCCTCAATCAAGGGGATTCACAGCTTTCCAACTCCAAGTGTCAATAATAGCAAAATGGAAACTCAACGACATGAACTGTGGGGTCAAATCCCTGCATTTATGGGTCCTCCTCAGGACCAGTGGATAGACGAACTTGATGAAACAAATCTAAGSGAAACATAAGGATTATGTCATCACTATACATATGGATCATCAGCGCTTGCACATTCTTTACCGAAGTTTGAGTTACACAAGTTTCATGGATCTGCAATGGAGTGGCCCGACTGGATAAGCAGATTTAAGAGTATAGTCCACGACCAACCATTTCTAAATGATCACCAGAGGATAGCTTATCTACAGTCTTTTGTGACACTAGCTGCTAAGACTGAAATTCAATATCTCGGTGAAGACGGATTGAACTATGTGTTAGGACTGCGAATTCTTAAGAGTAGGTTCACTGACGCTGGAAAGATTGTGCGGGCTGCTATTTCTCAACTTAAGGAGGCAAATGCTCCTCGTGCTAGTGACCATCAAGGAATTGTGAAGCTCTACCAAACCCTCCGTTCGACAGTGGTGATATTACACAGACAGTGGTTCATTGCAGACCTGCTGAGCGAAACTAACTTGTCCATGGTTGTTGAAAAACTACCAAAAACACTTGCAACAAAGTGGGCTATGGAGGTTTCTTTGACTTGGACCGATGGTTGTCAGATCAAGTACGTTGCAGACAACACCTGGTACAGAAGGAATCAACTACAAAGCACGTGAATACTCCTAAGTCTCACCCAGTGAGGAAAGACTATAGCTTTAGAGCTAGCACCCTAGCTACAAATCGTAGTCATGAACCTGTTTCGGGATCACAAGGAAGTCCATCTTCTACATGCCCATGTTGTGGACAAAATCACGCTTTATACCGATGTAACGACTTTATCAAAGGAACTGTGTCTGCGCGTCGTGAAATCGTCAACAAAGGGACACTTTGCTTCAATTGTCTTAGACATGGTCATAGAGCAAAGGACTGTACTTCTAAAAATCGTTGTAAAGTGGAAAATTGTAACGGATTGCATCACAGCTTGCTTCATGAATTCAAGAACAAAGAAAACAGCAAACTAAGTGGAACTGCAAATCAACAATTCAGCAACACGAACATTGCATCTAAAGCGAAGTCATCAACTGGAAACACTAATGTACACGTGGGTACAGCAAATACGTGCGTGGAATCATCACAACTAAAAAAGAAAACTGTCTACTTCCAGATAGTCCCTGTGAGAATTGAAGGTGTCAAAGGGGCGGGACCTGTGGACACTTATGCAATTTTAGACGCTGGAAGTTCTGATACCTTACTTCGTAAAGACATAGCTGAAGCTCTCCAACTTGATGGTTCTGAACATCGACTCACTCTTGGAAACATTGAGACGTGTGGCGTCCCGAAAACATCACAAYTTGTGAGTTTCAGAATTACTCCAACTGGCAAAGGTGCAATTAACACAACTGTGGACATTGAACGAGCTTGGACAGTCCCTCGACTGAACATACCACCACGTCAACTTGTGAGCGAAAGAAACAAACAAAAATGGAAACACCTTCATGACCTTGACATTCCGTCTGTGTCAACCGGCCAAGTGGGTGTCTTGATCGGAGTAGACGTCTCGGAAGCCGTGCAACACGAGTGTCGAAGAGGCCCTAAGGGACAACCTTATGCTGTTCGTACAGACTTTGGATTGGCCGTCGCTGGAGCTGACTACGGAGCACCGGAGACGAATACTAATCAGATCCACGTTGGACATGTCGATGTTTCTGTTGACGAACAGTTGAATCAACAACTTGAACRTTGGTGGAGGACCGAGTCTTTCGGCACAAAATATGACAGGCAAGAACTGAGATCACAAGAGGATGAAAAGGCTCTACAACAGCTACAAGAGAACACTCACTTCAGAGAAGATCTGGGACATTACGAAACAAGTCTGTTATGGAAATCAGAATCGCCATCACTACCAAACAATCTAGAGCTTGCAAAAACAAGGCTATCACAACTTGAGAGAAGTHTAGATAGAGACCCGGATAAAGGAACACTATACTGCAACACCATCAACGGCTACATCGAGAAAGGATACGCTAGGAAACTGTCAGAAGAAGAAGCAAACATACAACCCAAGAACACGTGGTACCTACCCCACCGTGCTGTAACCAACGTCAATAAACCAGGAAAAGTTAGAGTAGTTTTCAATGCAGCAGCTGAATTCAAGGGTGTCTCTCTAAACAAAGAACAAGTTACCGGACCTGATTTGTTGAACAGCTTGGTAGGAGTAATCTTGAGATTCCGACTACACAGATACGCATTCACCGCTGACATCGAAAGTATGTTCTTCCAAGTACGTGTCATTGAAAGGGATCAGCCATCGCTGCGATTTCTATGGCGAGCTGGAGATAGAGATAAACCTCCTGATGCATACCAGATGCAAGCATTGATATTTGGCGCCAAGTGCAGCCCTTGTTGTGCTATCTACTGCCTCAAAGCCGCAGCTACTGATAGTCAAGGTAGCTACGATACTGAAACACTGAACACAATTCTCAATGATTTCTACATGGATGATGTTCTAAAATCTGTTAGAACTGAAGACGAAGC